GGAAACGGGTTTTTAAAGATACAGACATCCCGGTTTTAAATATCGGTCTAATTAAACAACTAAAATGCAATGCCCATTTGTTGGATAGTGTCAATCACTTGTTAATTTGAAAATTACGTAGCGACGTTGTATCACTGTAAGTCATTATTTAATAATTTTAGCCACTACTCGTGTTTAAATTCCGTCAACTATGAAGAAATAAGTGATGTTTGAGATTTCTCAGCAGCGTTTGTTTAGATTGAAACCAAGAAGGATACGATCTAACCCCCCTCCTCCTACGATGCTCTTAGAGATTAGCAGTCAAAACAGCGTGACATGGGCACCATTTAAAGCTCAATAAAACATAGACCACTGTTTTCGACACGGTACGCATTGAACAAAAAAAGGTTTTAAAGGTAAAGTTATCCGCATTGTTAAATTTTACATTTTTTGAGGTATTCATCTGCAAGGTTCATTCGCTTTACCCTCACATGAAATAAGCCTGTCGATCGTTGGATAGATGGCTCCATGGACTCCAGAGTCGATCTAGGCATTTTTGCGAAAAGAAAATTATGTCCTGACGGGAATCGAACCCCGGTCATAAGGTATACCTATTAGCGAAATTATAAACGTCTGGTTACACCAGTGGAACTATTTCAACAACTTCGGGGTTAAATTTATAGATGGCACAGTGTGTACCACCTAGTGACTGCTATGAAAACGTGCTGTGATGTCATTTGTAGTAAACATGTTACTTAATAAAATACAATCTCTGTTGGGATCTAGACCCTGGACTGTAAAATACAATTCACATTTCAAAAATCGTTTTAGCTAACAAGTACAAGAATGTATGGTGCGTGTGTGTTTAAAACCTTCGAAACAGTTCGGCATTTAGCACGAAGTACGGTTACAAATTTTCGAAGTATCCTTTTCGATCCACAATTAATGTATTATTTATATTCAGAATGGTCCAAAAGTCTATGCACCATTTTATGTGTGTAATTCTGTTATGAATGTTGTTTTTCTTCCAGTTATCATAAATATTTTTACAAGTTGTATTCTAGTAGCTTTGTACAATTTTTACCCAAGCTACTATGTAAGCCCCCATATGTAATTGAACAATTTATAGCCTATGCTTGACCTTGGAAATGTTTACTATTGATGTAGTTGAAAAGGGATTATTAAAATAATAATGCTCTAGATAGTCTTGTGTTTGGTAAGTACACAGTGAATATCAGTAGGGCTCCAGCTACTCTGACTTAGGTATTTCAGCACTAAATAGGTTCTTCGGTTGAAATATGACCACTCATCAAGTAACCTAAGAATCATGCAAGATTTGAAGTCTGTATAACATATATGCTGCTGTATGATTCAGTGATCTCTAATATACCTTATCTCTAAAAAGATTTGGCTGCAGTTTCATCTTCAAAGGCACAGACTGCAGGTTAGTATTCTGTATTTTACTTGTAATATACAAGATTATGTAGTGATAGAACTTTTGTGTTCTCTGCTAATTATTTTCTTGTGATAATGATCACTTATTATTCTCATACTATGAAATAATTTGGCATGTAGTGTGGAACTAAAAAATTACAGCTATGGTTATGTATTTTATTAGTACAGAAAAAACAGTTTTAGTTTCCCATGAGGTGATCTTGTTTCTGGTGCTTATACTTACAACGTTGGTGAACATTTTCCAGATTTTGTTCAAGAAATAAAATATTTTACTGAGCACTTTCTTTTCATATAATTTTTTTCTTACATTTAGGGACAAATTTAGTTGGTCATTAAAAATAAATATGTTTTATAAATCTGTGTGCCTGATAAGTTTACCATTCCATTCAGCATGAAATAAAAATAAGGTTATGTAATTTATGTATGAAGGTAGTTACTTATGTTTGTAAAATAGCTTTATTTGCAGTGTGGTGTGAATTGTGGAAGAATAATCCTTAATTGATTTTTCAAATGGGAAGTCTGTAGACATATTATTTTATTCTGTTGGCATTCTTGCAGCAAAGTTTAAATGGGAAGATCCCTTGAACTTGGAGTCGCAGTTGACGCAGGATGAAATTATGATGCGTGATTCATTTAATTCCTTCTGTGAAGAGAAACTTATGCCTCGAGTGTTGTTGGCTCATCGTAATGAGGGTATGTAAAATTGTGGTTATGCCACAAAAGAAAATAGTACAATTTGGAGAGTTTGTTTTTGGTTTCATATTAATATTTTGGGTCAGGGTTGTTGTAGAATATTTTCAACCTTTGATTTGAGTTGAGTACACTCTTAATTGACTGCATTTGGGTTTTGTTTAAAATAGATTTTAAAGTGTGAGTTTTATTCAAACAGTTTAGAAGATGGGACAGTAATTGAGTTTAGTTTACATGTTAAAATTTGAGTTCTTGGAAATCAGATAATTTATTGATCAGCTGAATGTCAACTTTTCTAGAAAGACCATGTATCTGTAGTTAGCTGGTGGTTTGGTTGTTTAGTTAGGGTTTTGTCTTCTTTATCCTCTTGTAATTTTGCAGTGTTTGAACTTATTAATTCAGAATTATGGGTGTCCAGGAAATGGACTAATTTAACAAAGCAAGAGGGTAGTTAAGTGAAGTTCATACTTTTATTTTTTGCATGTGTCGGTTGGGGGGTATTGCACACATACTTGTGTGTGAGACATTAAGAAATTACATTCTCCTGATCAATATAGAGAAGTGTTTCCCATACATTTATGATTCCAGGCCCCTTTCCACCTTAAAACTGCTTCTGTAACTCCACACAGACATTAAAAAGGAGGCAGAAAGAAGATATAAAGCCATTAAACAGAACAGGGGAGATTATGTATGTTGGTTAGCAGGAGGAGAATAATATACAATTTTGTAATCTGGTGTACTCATAGATAATACCATGAAACCTCTAAGTTAGTCACACTACTTCAGTTAGAATGACCATTGACCTTAAGTTCTACTTGATTATTTATTTAATTGTTAAGATTTCACTAGTTTTCCTGCATATGAGATACAATTTTCACATTAATATTTAAATACAATTTATGAAAATTCCACTTTCATATTACATGGCTTTAATTGGCAACTATCACAACAGAAGTTCCTGCATCTTTGTGTAATTTAATATTTCAGTATTCCACCGTGAGATCATGAATGAGTTGGGAGCAGTGGGTGCCCTGGGTTGCACTATACGTGGCTATGGCTGTGCTGGTGTATCGTATGTAACATACGGTCTTCTGGCTCGTGAACTGGAGCGTGTTGACAGCAGTTACCGTTCAGTATTTAGTGTCCAGTCCTCGTTGGTTATGCATGCTATTGATGCATATGGCTCTCCTGAACAGAAGGAAAAATACCTCCCAAAACTTGGTATGTCTGTTTTGAATTGTGTGTATGAAATATTGTGAGTGAGAGAGAATATAATTTTTGTTTGTTGTCAAAGAATAATTAAAGGATGATTAATTTGGAGAAAGTTACATGTTTGAGAGTTTCGAAATTTTTGCTTATCTCTAGAAGAGTAATTAAATCAATAAGGATTAACTTGGTGGGACATGTAGGATTTTTATTTTATTTTATTTAGTTTATTTATTTTATTTTATTTATCTTAAGGAAAGAGACCACTTGGGAGCCATTTGAGTGGGTGAATAAGGTATTAAAATTAATGCTTGAGACTTGGGTTAAGTATGTAAAGATATAAACTGGATTAGATTATCTCCGGAAAGGGAACAATGACAGGCCTTTACAATGATGCTATTGAAATTTCAATTTCCATAATAGGAAATTTCTCGAAAATGGGTGTCTTCTGTGATGTAGCACTATGATCACTCTCATGATGGAGACAGTAAGCTCCAGTGAAATTTCAGGTGGTATCTACCAGACTACACAGTCTACATCCCAGAAGACAGCCATCTTCATAGTTATCATCGTGGGAACCTGAAGTCTTGCTAGGAATTTGTTGAGCAGCTGAATAACTAACTTTTGACTAAAGGAAGAAACTGTTCCGTGGTGTTTTTATTGTACATTTATGCATAATTTGACCTAAAGTTATATTTGTGATTAACAGCTTCAAAAAGATGTGATTTTTACTAATGTGGATAAATCCCTTCAATATGCATATTGTTTATAGATGATAAATGTGAACAATGGAATTTCAGCCCGTGGAGAATTGGTAGGGTGCTTTGGTCTAACAGAGCCAAACCATGGGAGTGATCCTAGAGGCATGGAGACAAAAGCCAAGTATAATGCAGCAAACAAATGCTACATTTTGAATGGTAGCAAAACATGGTAAGCATATAAGTTATGATTGATTTATTTGTAAACTAGCAAGTGTTTATACTTTGGCCATGTCTGTCTCAAAATAAGAAATACTGAATAAATTAAATCTCTTATATATTTGGCAGTCCTGTGAATATGTATTTTTATGTACTAAATAAAATTTATTGTAAATCCCTGTAAACAGCTTATTTATTATGACATTCTTATTGACGATGTTTTATTACTAATTTATGTGGTGATGGATTGTAATGGCTTCATATATCCAATGCTTGCAATTAATGTCTACGAACTCCTTGATAGCTTACAGCATAATGTGATCTTTAAAGAAAAGAAAAGCGGTTAATACGCATACTGTGTATACATTTTGTTGTCTTTAGTTGAAAACTGGCATTGTCTATAAAATAGTTTGTTTTAATTATTTTCTTTTATCCTGGAAACTTTTTCCTTGTGGGAGATTTGGCATTGCTCGTAAACTTCTGATGGTGGTGGAGAAGTGATATTTGGTGTTAAGAAGCTTCAGGCCTACTACAGAATTTTATATTCATGAAATTTTATGTTGCATTTTTAGAATGAAAATTCATAATTTAAATTGAACTTTGCATCTTGAATAAATTCCATTAATATTTTTTGCAAGCATCAAGACGTGAACTGCCACTGAATATTATATGCAAGGTTTTATGATATGTGCATGTGAAGACAATAAATTTTTATTCCCACTTCAGAACTTTGATTACATTTGTTTGCATTAATAGTTACTTTTGAATAAAAAGCAAGTTCATGGAACTTAAAGGCATCTGTGCAACACATCAAGTAACTTAGGCAGACTCACATAATCAATCTTTTGCTTGTACTGAATCTTTGCTGTAAGGCCTGAGTGTGCATGTGTACAGTATTTCAATATGAATAGTGTATCTTTCATGTAGATGTTCTTTGCAGGATTACAAATGCACCCATCGCAGATATCTGCATCATCTGGGCAGTTTGTGAAGATGATAAAGTGAGAGGTTTTATTGTGGATAGAAAGTCAAAAGGATTAGAGACTCCCAGAATTGAAGGAAAATTCTCTTTACGTATATCAAGCACAGGAATGGTCCATATGGATGATGTGGAAATACCTGAAGAAAACCTCCTGCCTAATGTAGAGGGTCTGAAGGTAGGTACAGCAGTTGTTTAAGATTTACTCATACTGAGTGTGTTGTTTACCTTTTTCACTTTGTTAGTGTTTCTTTACATTACAGACTAACGTTATGTAATGTGTTTTTCCAAATTCATTTTACCCCCAAGTATATATATGTACAAGTTTCGGTAGGCGAAATTAAAGAAACGTGTACACATCAGTTTTTATATAAGCTTTATTGAATAGTTTCTAATTACAGTAAACACTTGTTGATGTACATAATAGTAGACTTCGACATATCCAAATATTATACAGACATTTTTGTCGGAAGTATATATAGGAAAAGAGAGTGTTTATTATATTTGAGCATTTGTGCATTTTCAGTATTTACTGTAGAGCATCAAAATACTTAAGTTTGATTTGAGGTTTCACAGGGGCAAGTATGAAGATGGCTGTCTTCTGGGTTTAAGTTATTTCATAAAAGAATTAAATAAATTGTCAATATACAGTTTTAATTTAGTTTAATGTGCCGTGAATGTAGCCAGAACTGTTTCCAGTGGTTTAGTTGTGGTACTCATAAAAATGTGTTTTCAATTAATAACTTCATGTAGGGTCCCTTTGGCTGCCTGAATAATGCACGATACGGTATCGCATGGGGAGCCCTAGGGGCTGCAGAGTTCTGTTTGAAAATGGCTCGTCAATACACACTAGACCGCAGCCAGTTTGATAGACCACTTGCAGCCAATCAACTGATACAGAAGAAACTTGCTGACATGATTCAGGAGATCAGTATTGGACTACAAGCTTGTCTTCATGTTGGTCGACTGAAGGAGAAAAACATGTAAGTCTTCTGCGGCTCTTAGTGTAAAGGACATTGAAATTAATTTGGCTATGGCACAGAAAAGGTCTAAGTGTAACTTCCACAGTTTCACTCTTAATTGAGTTATTTTTAATGTGTGTGTGAAGAAAATGGAATTGCAGCAGAAATTTTCATTGGCATTAATTCAGAAGTTGAGTATTTTTATGAAATATGGGATGCATGAAACACACTCATTCATGAATTTACGTAACTAAAGAATTACTTTCTAATATAGGCAACAAGCTTATCACAGGAATTTTCTAATGGTTCATAGATAATTTATTTTACACTTTAATTTCTTCATGTTTTAATCCTACAGAGTGGACCTTCTATTCAAAATCCTTTCCATGTGACATGGTAAATGGAAAGTTTACTTCCCATATAAGAATACTTACAACATTTTCATGTAAAAAACACATCTCGGTTAAAATTGTGCTGAAACCCAACTGCCTAAGTGGGTGTTTTTTGTTTTTAGCAGGGATAGGGATTTTTCTCTTAACCATGGCATTCAGACCATTCCTGTGGCCCTCCAAACCTTTATCCATCAGGTATCTGAAGCTCTTGTCACCAGAGTTAAAGCAGCAAGGCTGTAAACCTGACCAATAACCTCGCTTAATACCAAGGGTTGGCATTCATGGAGCTTTACATCTGATTTTCCCGTACATCTTTGTGGTATCGTGCAAAAGCTTACAGATTGTTATTTATTTTAAAAAGGTTAATTCTTCACTTAAATACAGGACAGAATGTTTCAATAATGATTTCTTTCAAACAAATATTTACTTGTAAGATTTGAGGTTTTCACAGCGGTGAGTATTTAGATTTCTGTCTTCTGGGTTGTTGCACTGTGTAGTCTGGTCGATGTTTACCAACATTTCTGAGGTCATACTGCCTCTGTCATCAGGGCGATGAATCGTTGGTAAACATCGACCAAACCACACATTACAACAACCCAGAAGACAGAAATCTTTAATTATTTACCTGTGTTGTTTACAGGGTAACACCAGAGATGCTCTCCATTTTAAAACGAAATTCAGCTGGCAAGGCTTTGGAAATTGCACGAACAGCTCGTGATATGCTGGGAGGAAATGGCATTTCAGATGAATATCATGTAATTCGCCATGCCATGAACCTTGAATCAGTCAATACTTATGAAGGTAAGTAATTGTATAAGTTCTTCCTGAAGCAGCTGATGGTACGTATATTCAGTTGTTTATTAAATTTCCTCATCATCATTACAGAAGCCTGACACTGCAACCTGATTTTCGCAAGTTTATATTCTCTTAGCCAATTTCTCAAATGAATCATTTTAATACATTGAAACCTGATTACACTGAATCCTTTGAATATTTTCTCAGTTTCAGACTGTTTCTCATTTAATATGGGCACTCCTAAGTTAAAAAAGTATTTGGACACCGCGTTACACATGCATTTATGATCAAAATCATTCCGTGTCATATCCTTACATTACATTTGCTGAGCAGTATATATTTTTAAGTAAATTTCTCACATACATTATCTACGTTATACCTAAATATTTTTCTGTGCAGTTTTTTCAAAGGGAAGTTACATAATTTTCACTCAAGGTAAGATATATTATACAGACATACAGAACAATTAACTAAATTATTGTTTTGATGTTATTGTTATTAACTACTGATACAATTTTGCTCCGTGCAGGTACACATGACATTCATGCATTGGTACTCGGAAGGGCCATCACTGGAATATCGGCATTCAGTTGAACTGCCTTTTGATCTCTCAAGATAAGCTATGTACCTGCTTTTATAATGCAATCAACTGTTGAATTACATTTGTTTCCACAAAAATTTTGTCTTACGTTTCTGTTCCCATGTGTTTGCTGGAGTTGTACATTCAGAATTTTTCAGGAAAATGATTAGAAATGAAAGGTAAGTAATAAATATTTTAATATTGTTTAAACAAATAATAATAATCCGTGGCGTAACAGCCCTCTGAGAACCAAAGCCGAGTAGCTGGCTGCTGGCCTCACGTTCACATTCCTAAGCAGAGGTGAAAGATCATCCAACCAGATATAGGGTGACATGTGGTCAGCATGACAAACCCCCAGCCATTGCTAGTTTTCATGACCGGATTACGCTACCCATTGTAGCTCCCCAATTTCCTCACGATGCTGGAATGTTTGTAAGTTTGCGCTATACTTGGCAGTTAGACTTCAGCTTCTCGTCGCTGAAGCCATGTCCTTGTGTGGCTTATGGCTAGCATGGTGGCAATAGGCTGCAGATTTTTGCTACTACTTGGTTTCTCCTGTTGACCACTATTCCGCTAAAGCTCGCTACATATCAGCCACTGCCTCTGCGGTGTGTCATAGGCCCAATCAGCCAGGATTTTATCGTAATTGATCCATAAGTGGTTTTAATGCCCTAATGATAATTCCCAAAATTGTAGTGTGATTGATGGGAGGTATCTCGGCACATGTAGCAGTGCAGAATTGTGGTAAATAATCTTGAATCTTGAAAGTTGCTTTTATATAAATTTTGTTCTAATTCTTGTCATTCGTATCACCACATTGAATTGAAATGTTTTCCTTGTGTTTTAAACCTGGATATAATTCTGCTGGAATAAAATGTAACATTTATTTTAAGGTTATGATATTTTAGGATGTGCTTAAATGTATAAAATTATGAAGCTATTTCGTTTATTATTTCTGATAATTGAAAGTTTATATGTGTCAAATTTTACATCCTTATCGTACATGAATTACTAATATAAGTAATAAGATCATGTATTTATGTTTGTGGATAATGTGACTTGTCATTCATTTTATAATTTTTTGATATTTGTTCTTTATATGCTGCTGTCATGGAATTTCTATTCTAGTATTTTATGAAATAGTGGAACATGTAGCATGCATGAAATAAGAGAAATGCATAAGAAAGAGTGGGCTAAGAGACGTAGAAGTACATGTAAGGATAACATTAAAATGGGTTTTGGAAAAATAGTGTCGACCATATTCAAATAGTTCAGAACAGGATGCAGTGGTGGGCATTTGTGAAAATGGTGATGAAACTTTAGCTTCAGTAAAATTTTAATATTTCTTGACTTTCCAAGAAGCTATGAATTTCCTCAGTCCTTTATCATATCAAGTCTCGAAGGAACGTCACAGAAACGAACTGAAGTTAATGTGACTGTAGGATGATATTTCATTTTGAAACGAGGTTTATGCCTCTTATTGTTCTTTTGGCATAATTTCATACCCTAGGCCACGTGTACAACATTTCGTACTCATGCGAATGTAATCGTTGCATGTCTTTTGCCGTTTAGAAAAATTATTAATGACATTCGTGTCCCGCCCGCACACGGAAATTCGAGCCTGGAAGGTAACGACTTATAAAATGCAGTAGACCAAGAGGAGAAATACGTTGTAGGTGTGAATGCAGTTCGACGCGTGGGCTACAAAGAACTGGTCTGTTCAATTAGCTCCACAGAAATGCTGATCACATACGTGCAGAGCCCCGGGGTGTGTCTGACCTGATACGTACTGTATCCCACACACTTTGAACTTGATTCCTCTTTGTAGATTTAAAACTTGTTTTATTTAATGACTTTTATCAACTGCGCAGAGAAAGTTTTTTTAATGGTGACTAAATACAATGAAACCCGATCAGCCGCGTAGATACGGACTAGTAACCCGACGTTTCGGAGTCCATCCCCCTCAACATCATAAGGAGTAATCGTATACGCCACTAACAACAGGATATGTATAAACGATCTCGTTCCGTAATACATAGTTCCTGCAACCAATGGAATGGCGTTGATTTTTATAATCAGTTTACGGAATACATCGTAAATTTATGTCTTATTTTTTTAATTTTACTGCTGTGTACTGCCTTATTGCAAACCATACTAATTATCATTTAAAATATGTGATTTATTACGTGCAGGTGCACCTGAACTAATGAAAACTGTGCCGAAAAGTATTATTTTTTATTTATTTCAATGTGGTTAAACCCAGAGTTTAAGATAACATGAGATTTGAGCATCAAGGTCTAATCCTCCATCTCTTAGTTTTTATTGACAGGAAGAAAGCAAAGTTATATAAAGTTTTATGGCAGTTCAGTTTGCAGCATTCGTTTTAGGCAATATGCCGACGACAGAAGAAAGTGCACTGTGTGTGTGTGATATAAGAGGAGGTTAATTGTGTACTTCCATGGCATTGAGAATGTTGTGCTGAACGTAAAGAGGGTGAGTAGATATTTACTTTTGTTGATGAAGGGAACAGCCTTTTGCAGCTGGAGGCATGGCCAAAGAAACTCGTTCACGTAAACTGGAACTGCAAACGTTGATGTCGAACGAGTGATAGTGGTTTGTCTGACAGGTTATGTTCAAACAAAAGTTGGAAAGCTTCCGACTTCGACGAATAAGAATGACAGAGGTTATAAAGATACGATCAGGCCTAAATTTGGCATTGTCCTGTTAAAGTATAATAAATATCTTCATCAGTTCTTTCACAGGCTCTTGAAATGTTACATTGTCCATATAACTTACCAAGAATTTAAATAACCTAGATTTAATTTTGTATGTAGCTGGAAACAAATGCAGGTGGAAATTAACGCCAGGCAACACTACATGGAGAGCCTTTTGAAAACAGAAATGGAAAGTTACCTGATATTAATTTTACTCTGTGTAGGTACATACCTGCAGTCGTGGTCTTTTATATGATCCAATGCTACGTAGTCATTGATTAAACCTATTTTTTGTGTGCATGGACTACTGATCTTTCGAAAATATTTTAACTTGTTCATATAGGGTAAGCCATATTTATTGTCAAAGGCAATTGTGAGTTTCGAGAATTTAACAGTATTTTTAAAAAATTAACGACGTTCATTATAAGAGGTAGTGAGCACAAATTGTCTGTTATACAGCACCAAACTTCATAGGTGAGTGGTTTTCACTTACACTTTGTGTACAGGAAGGTGTTCTGTCCCATTATCTTGAGTGAATTCTTTATCATCATTTACATTTCCTTTGGAGCCGACACATTTGATCTAAATAATCTCTTCAGCACTGTTCTCCCATGCATTCATCTACGAAATTCTTCTTTCACTTTGAGAGAGACCAACTGAGACATTCATCCTAGTTAGAGGTCTATCTAACCATCATTTTCAACATGAGAATAAACACGTGTTTCTGCCGGAAACATTTGTCAGCTTCCAACGAGACATGAGTATCAGCTTTCACCATTACTTAGTGAAATTTTGTTTACTTTTCACCGGAGTGATCGCCGAGATCATATTCGTGTGAGGAAAGCAAATTCAGAGGCTTACTGCTCATTGTTTCCCCAAGTTCGGAATGGATGAAGTGTACTATTACGTTTCCCTGTATATACAGGTTGTCCCAAAAGATGTATAACACATTCAGTTAATGAATTTTATTTGTTTATAGCTCAGACTATATAGCGTCGAATGAGAGGTTTATAGTGAATATGGAATTGGAAGGAAGCGGTCGTGGCTTCGAAGCACAGATGGCAGCGGCGAACAACTGACTGAAAAGCGGCCATCAAAGTAGCTGCTGTGTGTACATATTTTTTGACAGCCTGTATATACGTAAAATAAACCTAATTTAATGTCTCAGGTTCTTTGAAAAACTTATACGCACTCAGATGTTTAAGAAATGTTTCCTATTTTTGGAGGCCGAAGATGTATTGTGTTCAGAAAAAGCCAGACACTGAATGGTTACTATCTTGGGCCAGCTGAATCCATTCCACACCTTTAAACCCGAATTATGTGTAAACTGTTTTAATACTACTTTGCCATATATTCCTTGACCTCTCAAGTGGTGTCTTTCCTTGACGTATTTCAAGCAAAATTATGCATGCATTTCTTATTTTCAGCTTGCGTGATTCCCTTTTTATCTGTGTCATTCTGATTTATTTAATCACCCTAACAAAATTAGGTGAATAGAGCAAACCTTTTCCTTGTCAAAACTAAGGATTTAGGGTTTCAGAATTAATTTCGAATTTGAAGTAGCCAATTGAGTGAAGTCTCTCGAAAAAGAGTAAAATGGTGAAGCTCTTGATTCATTCATTTTCTATAGCATTCTGTCCCTTCCTTTTTATTTGGGTCCTTTACTATGCTCAGCCCTTTATTCTCCAGCACTTTTAGTCGGTGCTTAGAATAAATAGCATAGGCCTATTTATAGTTTTGTTGTGGAAACGGTTGCTATTACATAAATAGTATAAGATACTGACACGACACTAGTCTGTTCATTTCTAAATATGTTCTATTTGAATGTTGTAAGAAGAAACGTTATACCAGTTATACCTAAAGGAGTTTGGACCCCTAACACCTCCGGTAGATAAAGCCGTCTGGCTTCCCTGTCCTAATTGTAGGCATCAGTTTAATGACGCACATCAAGACAAAACTACGTGCTGTCATACAAAACGAATTCTTATACCCGTTATTACAAAACCCACGATTTTCCTGAGCTTCCTGTTCGAGAGGCTTCGGGTTCAAATCTCGGTCCGGAGATCACGCATTCCGACTGTCATTCCGAGATTTTCCTCAGTTCCCCAAATCATATTCCAGAATACAGCAGATGCTGGAAATGGTATCCCTTGTTCCGCACACATTTCAGGCACCCATATAAAAGTTTTACTTAAACACGTTGAAGTTTTACAAGCGCTATCATGTGGCAATATTGTTGTTGCCTTAAATGGTTTAAATGATTTGAAAAGTCAGGACTATAAAATGGACAGGTGTTGCGAGAACAAGCTCTGACGAGGGAAGTTGGGAGGTGATGTTGGAGAAAGGTGTTTTAAAGCACACCGCCTCTCAATTTGTTACTGATATTCTGGACTGTAGAAACACAGATTGTTTCTCTGTTACTGCTATGGATCGCTGACCCAATCACGTTAGACGCCCACAGGAAATCGGAGACAAAAACCCTGCACCTGTGTACTCTTTCTGCTTTGAGAGACATCTTGCAACGAAAATAATTCAGGTTTCCAATCCTTTAACATGATTTTACCCCACAAAAATATTCCTGTCTTTATTATTTCGTAGGTTTCTTGCAGTGTTTTCCGGAACGTCCTTGAATTCACTCGTCACTGAAGATCACTTCTGGGGCGTTTTATCTGGCTAATCCATGGCAGAATCCCACATTCATTTAACCGGCACGGGAGATTCACCATTAGGCTCCCTTTTATCGTCATTCTCATGGTTAAGAAAAGACGTAGATCTTAATTTTATATTCACACTTTCAACTGCTGATGTTTCGTTTATTCGATTATTTACATGAGCATCGAATGAGACGTGTTGGACATGAAAGATTGGTTGGTTGTCGATTGAGAGGTGGAAAGTTAACCAGGACCTCCCGAATTCGTATCAGGAGTGCAAAGTATCAACCTTAACGTCCCGTGCATTAGATTTTTTTCCAAAGAAAATCTTACATGTAATTATTCTCGCAGAGTCTACACAACATATAAAATTCTATACGTTGGCTTACAAATAATTCTGCGACAGGTCTTGTACGTGGAATTATAACTTCACATACAATCTGTCAAACATTTGAAGGAAGATATTCCAAAAATTTTATGATCTTATTGTTTGCGCAGGCTTGGGCGTGGGTCTTGGTTACTGGAATATTGTGTCTTCGAGTCCCGCGCAAGGCATGAATATTTGTCCTCGCGTTGTGTTATGCTGTTCTGTGTAGGTAGAAGTCTTGTGACTGGTTGATTCCTGTCCAAGGAGTCCTACCAAATGTCTAAACAGTTTTATAATTTCAGAAGTAATTTTGAATTTAAACAAGCCACAAAAACCTATTTCGTAGGGGTTGATAACGATGATTTAAGAATTTCGTTACATCGTTATAAAATAAATTATTTTCTTTCTGAAATTTGGTATTGCTGTATTGGGAAATTTGTATCGAACCACGCGACAATTTTTTTTAAATAGGTTGGCACCACCATGTTCTTTTATCTGTGAGTGGGACTTGGCGTCAGGTAAGAAAGAGCCCGGATTGCATGCTGAAGACAACCCACAAGCGAAGGTATTGTGTTGAACCTTGGGTGTGCTTTGGATTGCCTTGTCACGCCCCCCTGTTCCCCCACCCCACTTCACAACGTCTCTGAAGAGAGAAAGTGGCCAACCATCTCGTATCTCAGTTGTGCTCGCGTTGGCGATCCGTGTGTATGAAGTGTGGTTAGGAGTCAACGATTTTCAAAAATATTTTCACCTTTCTACTGATTCAGTAGGTCAAGGATTTCGATAACAGTTGTGTGTGATTTTGAATAATCTTTCACATGTTTTTTTGAAATCTGCAATCGATACAAAATAAAATGGACTCGGCTGCAATAACAGGTATGTTTTGATGTTTTGTGTTAACAAGCTTGTTTTTAAATGTTCTGTGATCAGACATCTGCATCTTTATCACGTTGGAACACGAGATGTGTTATCTGGAATATAACTGAAAACACAGAGCCTGAATCAGCAGTAATTAAGTTTATAACAGTGTCCGTACATTCCTTCTACTGATAACGTTTGATGTCACAGCATATTTAGTTAATATATGATACTATTTGTTTCTACCCCAGAAACAGAATCGTTGACATCTAGGTTATAGGCCTTTCTGATACAAAGTAAAAGAGTTTCTTTGCCCATTTCAAATGTTAAACAGCATTTGAGATCTGAGGTTCTCACGGCTGTGAAGATGTCCGTCGTGATCTTCTGGACTTTGATGCGTGGACTTTTAGGTGGGTACTAACGTTTCGGAGGAACATACTGCTTTCATCTTCAGGACTGAAATTAACTCGACGTAACAACCTCCAAGACCACCATTGTTAGTAGCATATTTTTTCTCCGGGGATTGTTTTTAAAATATAATCAGTTTAGTTTTCATTGCAATTGTAAGGTGATGTATTCACCGTGTGTTTACATAACTTGTACTTGTTTCCAGTGTGTTTCACTTTCTTGAGCTCGAAGAAAAGCATACATAAATGTTGCTTGGCGCGTGATCGTTGGCAAGCCATACCAGATGTGGAGGGGAGATGTATTGTTGGGATTCTGCACTTGCGAATGAAGTAATAGCCATGACATGATTTTAAGATTTTTATGATAAGTGGATTCTTCTGGCTTCTTGAATTCAAGGGTGAGCAACGGTTTTCGGGTACCTTAAATTATTAATAACACGGCGTTTTGTAACTTTTAGTTTTTCATTCCTAGTGTAAAGCAGTTGTTCCCACAGACCACATGAAAATTACTGAGGGCCTTGGTGGCGCCGTACTGCAGGTGTTAAAGATTATGATAAAGAAATTATTACTGTACTTGATTTAATACAGAATTATCTTGGTATTTTATTACACCATTTTTTCTTCCATGATGATCTGTAATCACAGTTGTTTCATGGATCACCTGAATAAAATTTATGGACAGTTGCACGTCCGCGAACCACACTTTGAACACCTGTGTTGTAAAATATTGTAATCGCAAACGAAATAAGTAATGGAAATATAAATCGAGAATTTTTTCGATCATTGGCGTTTTTAAGTCCTTAATGTACACAATTACAACTAATGTGTTTTTTTTTTGTATTGTGTTTAAAGAAAGAAAGCTGAGTGGTACCCACTCCAAATTCTATTTAATGTGTCTTAACAGTTTTCAAACTCCACTCACAGATTATATGAATGTCGGAACCACTAAAACTTTTATCTGCGGGTGTTTCAGTATGTTGGCAAAGCATGTTTGGTCGTTGTATATCACCAATTATATTTGATAATTTCCACTATAGAATTTGTGTCCAAAGTTCTTTCGGCATGTGCTAGGTCCCTGGATAAAAGTAATAGCCCTTATGTGATCTAACTATAAACCTATATAACCTGCTCCCCCTGGACTTTCGGTACAAACAAAGTGCACAACTCTGTGTGACGCTGACCAATCCTACACCTGTTCACATCAGCAGGACAGATGCTGATCTCATAAAGGTGCGCCGATCAAATGCCACGGGATGTAGAAAAAAAAGCTAAGCGATGCAGCAGGTGCTTTCAAGCTCCTTGCTTCGATAATTCTTTTCTGTGAACCGGCAATTTGAACTTGGAAATTGCTTAAATATAAATTTATTGTTGAATGTGCGTAAACCCCTAGGACAGAGGGCCTCTGTCTAAGAAAAAGGTCTAGATAGGAACTGGAAACTTTATACTGTGTAACAAAATCCTTATGGAACTTGATTGACGATTAAAAACACTGTTAGTAAGATGATATAGTTGCGTCATATTGTGAAATTTAATTAATTATTCGGTTTTTGTCCGTCTAATCACAATTCATATATAAATTTACAATTAAGATAATTAAAATATCATTTTATGTTCCTCATCGAACACCTGAAGATGGTTTATATAGAAACCGAAACATGTTGTAAAAAGATGTTCCAATTGTAAATCGATTGTTCGATGAGGAACATAAAATGATATTTTAATTATCTTAATTGTAAATTTATATATGAATTGTGATTAGACGGACAAAAACCGAATAATTAACACTGTTAGTGTTAAGAAGGTGACAGTCTTCTGTTAGATTACGCCGTGTACATTCTTAGAAGTTGGCAGACGTTTCAGAGGTGTTTACTGCTTCTTTCATCAGGGCGATAATGGAGGCAGTACGTATCTATTAAAACGTTGACCAGTTTCTATGATACTATACAGAGCATCATCATCCTGCTCGCCGTCGTGAGAACCTCAAATGCCAGTCTTCGTGTTGACTTCTTTGCACATTTCACTTGTACAGAGGTGAATTTGGAAACCGGACTTCATGTTCAAGAAACCCCGTGTGTTAATTTACGTCAAACGAGAAGCCAAACAACAGGCTGAGAGGAATGTTGCATGTTTACACATTGGCTTTCGTATATTCTGAGTACAAATACAGTTAGTCTGGCATTGTGTTATATCGTGGGCCTAACATTAAGGTACCAAGGAAGAATGATAGGTCTACGTTTCCATCTTTATCAGAGCCTAATTTATTCAATGGTTCATGAGTGTCCCTTGTTCTTAAGAAGCCATTTTAATTTCCTCATGTGCACAAATATTAGTTCCATTTCTGATGGAGTGTTAAACACACTGTATTTTATGTGGTTTAAAACTTTTTTTTAATCACATGTATCGCATGTAGTATCTGTAGAGCCTCATGGACTGAAACACGTCGCTCTAAAACAGTGTTAATAAAATATATCAAGATTTGTTGTGTGTTACGTAATCTTTGATCTCAATGCGTGTAGAAACCAGATCAGATACAAAAAAAGACATCCATTTCTGGTATTTATTAAAGTATTTAATAATTCATACTTTATAATAAATTTATATATCAGATTGTTTTACTTTTTGAAATATACCAGTAAAGTTTGTGGTTATGGGTCGAAGAACCGGGTTTTAGTTTCCAACAGGGACAAAATTCTTTACGTAATGCCCAGATTCTTCTGCGTCGTATTCTCTCATAGTTGACAGTGAACTTCGGGTCTTAATCCCCAATACTAAAGCGGCCGGAGCGTGAATGTGACCATTTATCTCGATGAAGTGTCAAGTTGGAATGCGTGGAGCCTTACCGCGAGATACTTTGACCACTTCGCGGGCCAGACAGCCGCTAGAAAATAATTTAGCATTTTAAGAAATATCGAATGGCGATCAATTATTCTCACTGACTGAGTATACCAAAATACTTGGTGTACATTATTAATAAATATTACATCACATTTTTTCCTTCTGACTCGTTTCAAATTAATTATTCTTACCTCATAAGTGAACTAGTCTAGACTGGATCCACTGTTGCAGTGACTGGCTGTTTTGAACACGACAAAGAATCTTCTGGTACTTTTAAAGGCGCGGATTGTCAGTTTCATAGTAAACACTTGTAGTACTTACTTAAAGCACAGTGGTAACTTAAATGTGACAGGTTCTTTAATTTTCATTAACTTTGTATTTTGCCCACAGAATGTATTTATGTATATCGCACGATTCTCAGTATAAACAGAGATGAAGGACTACTCTGTTCGTTCTCTAATACTGTATTTGATATACACTGCGTTTGTGTAGTTTGTTTTACCACCGCGTGCAAGTGATTGGTTGTAATACTGACAGACTTGTTCAATTATTTCACTTGTAATATTTGCATCGACGACTAGAATCGAACCTGCGATCATTTTAATGTTAGATTAGTGCTTAGCGTACTTGCTGATTGAGCTAAGAGATAATTATCAGTGGTGAAATGGAAGCAGTGATTGCGTACGTCAAGACACACTCTCAGCATTCATTTGGAGGGTCTGAAAAAAAATCATAAAAGCTCGGTCGATATTTGAACCACGTCATATCTGAATAGAAATTATCCCTTTGCTGCTGCAGGTGTTAACGCCAGCCTTTTGAAGCGAAAATAGCCCAGATATAGGACAATACGACAGCATAAGAGGTGCAGTAGGCTTCATAGGTGATATCAGGTTCTCAGGGCGGCTGTTATAAAGATGGCTGTCTTCTGGGTGGTTGTGCCGTGCACTTTTGAAACGTCGGTAAACGTCTACCAGACTACACGGCTCAACAACCCAGAAGACAGCCATCTTTGGTTTCAAGGACGGTCACACAAGCTGACAGTGTACTTGAATGTGACGCTGGATTTGACTCTGCGTGCGCCTGTTGTGTTTTACGTGTTCAGGGTCCAAAACTAATAGTTACACACTGTTGTCACCATAAACCAGAAACATAACGTATGGGATTATACTAGATACCAATAAAATATTTAAAAATTATTCAAGCAAAATGATCTAGTGAATGTAACTTATTTGTTTTTATAAACGCAGGGAAGTTGATGTTAAAGCAGAATACAAGATAAAATAATGATATAAGTCACTTATATATTGCTGGAATATAAAATGTGATTATTATAACGATAATTACATTAATTATACCAATGCTTAAATTAAGAGAAATTCAACACGTGCTTGCAAGCCCATTTTAGATGGGACCCTTGAGAAGAAGAGATATACGTACAACATTTTGGTTGGAAAAACTGAAGAGAATTGACCTAGACATAGACGGTAGGATAATATTACAATTGAACTTAATAGGAGGGAGGATGGTGAACTGGATTCGTCTGGTTTAGAATAGGGCTGTTGGCTGGCTCTTGTGAACATTGTAACGAATGTTCTGGTTCTTGCGATGAGCTCTGATGATGGAGGCAGCAAGGACCTCTGAAACGTCGTAAATTTCTACGAGACTACACGGCGCAACAACCCAGAAGACAGCTATCTCCAGTCACTTCATATTTGCAAACATGCATTCCTGAAACTTAGGGATTGAAATATACAAAGCTATAATGTTGGACTGGTCCAAAACTGATTTTTCACGAACGTGGAATTAGTGCATTTGATAACTAAGTACCAGAAGAGAACTTATATGGGGTCTAAGTGGGAATAGTTAACAAGGAAATTTGTCCATTTAGATGGTGATAAACTACTACTTCGTACTATTTACCAAATACATTGTGTAGATCAAGGACGCTGTGGCGTGTTGTATAGGATGGCGGAACTATAACTATAGACTTTTATGCAGATGTTGGGCTTCTGAATGTAACGCCGTGCAGACATGCAGGTAGATACAAACGTTTCGGAGGATCATACTGTCTCTGTCTTCAAAGCTAGAGGCGGACTCTGCCTCTCCGCTGTATGAGATCTGAGGTTTTCACGTCGGTGAGAATGTCTGCCTGAAGATGGAGACATGTTTCTCCGAAATGATCCACCTGCCGATGAGTCTACACGGGCTTGCAACCCAGAAGAACAACATCGACATTTTGACCTCTGTGAGAACCTCAAATCTCAGAAAGTAAAAGTCTTTGTTGCGTTGTCAGATGTCTTGAAAGCAAATTAAGGGAACGAAGCATACATGTGAGGATAATATTAAAGTGAACCTTAAGGAATTAAGTTGTGAAGAGAGCCGCCATAGCTCATTTAGTTAAGTGACTGTGAACGGGTCAGACGACTTGACCACCCACATTCATCTATACTGGGGTCGACGTCTCCTAACGCCATGAGGCTTGGTGCTTAGATATTAGAATAACCTTATATTTTACCTTTTATAAGTACAAATTCCTTGGAACAAAATAAACGCTGCAAATTTA